ACAAATTAACCTAGTTAAGAAAAACAAAACAAAAAACTTACCTATGTTAACCCTTTGGCCTATAACCATGGGTCTGACTCGTGGTAAAGAATTTGTGCCATAAACAAAAGCCGTGAGTCTGACTCATGGTAAAGAATTTGCGTCGTAAACTAAAGCCATGAGTCTGACTCGTGGTAAAGAATTTGTGTCATAAACATAGGCCACGCGTCTGACTCATGATAAAGAATTTGTGTCATAAACAAAAGCCACGAGTCTGACTCGTGGTGAGGAATTTGTGCATAAAATGCCACTTATTAGTATTAGAACAGGTGATAGGAGTTATTCTACATCGAATATTTTTCCTTTGATTGTAATGTCAGTATTTTTTATTTATTTTTTCAGTTGTTTCTGACAAACTGCATGATCTGTTACTTTAGTTCCCCATAAAGCATCGTTACGTTCACACGTTTCAAATATAATTTCATATAAAGAATTAAAAAACTCTTATACCCATCATGCCAAACTCTTATACCCATAATGCAATTATTTTTGTCAACTGATCAATTGATTATGATTACACCCTACTAGACATCTTAAAATTATTTTTTTGTACCTAAACATTGTTTATTATTTCACAGTTTCTTTCATTACACTGATATATATATGTCATGAAAAGTGTACATTTTACACCAGTTCAGCTACATGGCTGAACAGTTGAATGGCACGGCACGCATCCGACTTTCTTTTTTACTATAGCTTGCACAATTGGCAGATATCATGTAGGCCAAGGGGTTAACTCTTCATGAAGACCAGGACTCTCCAGAATGGTGGAACAGGAACGGATGGCAAGATTCCTTAGTAGACGGAGACTTCTGGATCACAAGCAGAAGTGGATGCTAAAGTTCCAAGGAAAATGAAACTCATGTCTGTCTTCACAGCAACACGCCAGATCACTGGCTTAGGCTAGTCAAGCGGACATTGATAGTCGACCACTGGGATGATTCAGCCAAAGAGCTTTCCGTCGCAACATTTTTGGATGAAAAAGACCCGCTACCTGTGAAGAGATGAAAACTGTTAAATTTCATTCAAGGAGAAACTGTAGAGAATATTCAGATGGTTAGTTGACCCCTGTGATGATTCAGCCAAGCGGCTCTCCGTCGCAACATTTTTCGATGAGGAAAGACCCATTACTCTTGAAGTGATGAAAAACTCTTAGACTTCATTCCGGAAGGAAATGTAGGGAATATTCAGAATATTAGATTTAGTTAATGAGGAAAAAAAAAAAAAAAAAAAAAAAGTTCAACTACACAGGCTATTATGGCATGGAGAGTATGTAAAAAAAACTTCACTTACATATATTCCATCATAATAATCTAAACCGGCTTGGCAAAACTGCCCCTTGTTGCACAACAAAAGTTACCACCGAAATCTGGAGCAAAAAAGGCAAGAGAGCAAAAAATGATGCTCAGCCAGTTTTTAATCTGAATGGCTTCCGTAATCCAGAGAAATCACCAATTTTTGGGAGAAACCCCACTCAAAAACGCTGTGAAGAAAATAGTAGAAAAAAATTCACTGGTTTGAACTTCTGAGGGAAACTCAGAAGTTCAAACCAGTTCAGACCCCTTTTCGTCAAGCAGCTAAGGAAAGTATTAACCCCAAATCTCTCCACTCCACGACAGGAAACAAAAGCTGACCTTTAGGAAAGAACAACACATACACCGTTAAAAAGTGACAAAATCAACCCCCAGAACATTTTAAACCAGAATACAGAACTTAGATAATTAAACAGGCATATCTCAAAATCTATTTCATCTTTCTTAATGAAAGTAACCTCAAATGAAAGATATAATTTTTCTTCTTTTAACAGTCTATGTTTCAAGTATAAATAAACATATTAAGCAATTTTAAACTGCAATATTACATAGAAATTTGACCGGTTGCCCTGTGTCTCATTCGTGCAGCTCAGAATAATGAGTGAGAAATAGTTTTAAACTTAACTTACAAAAACAACAATTAGTAGAAGAACAAATTAATACATTGATTAAATAAAATGAGTGTTGTGCACTATAATTTGGAATAACTGATACATTAATTTTGAATAAAACGTTAATCAAGTTAAAAATTCGCTAGATCTAAATTGACTACACAACATTTAAAAAAGATTGGGTAATGAAGTGTTTTTTCTTTGAGATGACTGAAAAGTTGTAGCTATTTTTCTTTGCATGTTTTATTTTTCTAAATTTCATAATTAGTTGACCAAAATACGCTTGCAATCACTACTTCATCAAAAAGTTGATCCATGTTTATTGTATTATTTGCATTAATTTTTTCACCTGACAATTTAATTTCAGACCATGTTAATTCACTGTTGCTTATTGAATATAACAGATTCTGTTTCCTAGAGGCATGAATTTATTATCATGCCTTTCCACAAGATTTGTTCTTAATTTTCCAGTTTTGCTGATAATAGCAGTTGCACTTGCTTTTGTACTTTTCATAATCAAGGTAGCTTTATTAAATAATTTGTGTTGCCCTTCCACAGACAACATTACCACAGTCATTATTAGAAAAACTGTAAAAACTATTTTTCCATACCTGAAGATATCAGTAGGTGGAAGTAGAGAAGGAAAACTGATGTTTCATGTTAAAGAATTTTTTTATACCCTACATCTACAAATTCACATAACTCTTTTACTTTAGTGACTCAAACCACGTAAATGTGGAAATATTTATAAATTTTGACTACTAAGCTTTTATTGCAATACGAAAAATTTAACTTTTACTCACAATTAGGTACAAAATACTACATAACAATTTGCATAGTTTTAATTTCTTTCCTGTTAGAGAAATGTATTGCTACCTCACAAAATTTATTGTATGTAAATCTTTGCAAAACTGCTGAAAGAACAATGGCTTAATTGCGTTAACATCAACAGCTTCATATTTTGTTTTGGCTATTCTAAATTTCATTTGGCACTTAAATATTATCCTGTTAACTGAAAAGAATGTACTTTGGTTGCTTTTAGCAGCTCCTAAAACTTTTGTATTTTTAATTTTTTCTTTGAAAAATTTTTTACATTTAATTTTTATACTACTACTACATATCCATAATTTGGCTTTAACATTTTTTGGTGTTAAACTGTTTCTTTTATCCTACATAAGTTATTCATTAAAGAGAAACATGATTCAGTGTATGTATTGGATGTTGGAATGCTAAATATAAATGCCATTATCATCTGAATGTTTGAAAATTTCCATTTTTTTTTACATATAAAAGGCAATATCTGTGAATTATTTTTTGTGCTATGTGTCATCCAAATTTCGTATTATTTCCTTTATTAAAAATATCTTTTACTTTGGAGTCAATTTTGCTGATATATTTATCAGTTTTACAGCAGTCTTGTATAGTTGAAACATAATTTTTTAAATTAAAGATTTGAACTAAAATAAAAACACATTTTCAAAGCAGATCAATCATTTAAACTTCTACAAAACCAGTATGAACCAGAAAAGCTACTACAAAAACCAGACAAATTAATAGTTAATCCAGACCATGAATCTAAAAACCAGCCTGGTGTTAACAATGTATGAAACTCAGGGGCTGAAGCTGTGAATAAATTAATTCTTTATATATTGGTGAAACACATAAATTCCAAATTAGTATTAAGATAGTTGAATGTACACACAAAAATAATGATGAAATGAGAAATTTTTAAATTTAATAAATTATCTTCATTAATCAATAAATGTAGTGTACTTTTGTTAAAAAGTTTACTAATATTATTTACACTAGGAAAATATGACCATTAAATTTATCACGCTGAATTTTCTGAAAATAAAATTTTTTTTAACCTCTAAAAATGAGTGCAGGTTACATGTATTTTATGATTATTATCAGAGTTCTAATGTACTTCCAAATACAGTGAAGACATATTGATAACTCTTGTAACAACTCTGAAATGGATATATGATATTTGATTCTTATTTGAAACCATATAATTCCTTGATTTTTGCCAATATGTTAAAATTGCATTGAATCCACTGAATTTAAATTGTGAGAAAATATAACATCTTGTTTGGTGAGTCTGAAAATAATCTTCAAAAATTTTTTTTTTTCAATTTAGCTCCTTTTTCTTTGTTTTATTTTAAAGTAAACGCATATTTTTTAATATGAATTAAAGTAAGTGATCTTAAATACATTATCTTTAGTATTTTGTATTGTAAAATTGTATGTTATTCTCAGTGATGTCATATTTGGTGATTAATGCGCTCTGATGTACATCTCATTGTTTTGGATCTCTAATAGCACTGCACATTTCTTTCTTAGGTCCATTGTCCCTAAATTTGAAAAAAAGTTATGCTATTAATATGCACACCCTCTGCAGGAACAACCAGATATGGTGGGCTCCTAACATGAGGGCCTCTTGTGAACTCATTTGATAATACTAAGAACGATGACATCATAATGGCATTATCTTTCTTTTTTTATGCATCAAACTCAGAAACTGCAGAAAAACTTGCATATCTTAGCAGATATGATGCTTTCATACATTGTTTGGATGCTTATATTCCACATACTAAGTATCTGACTGACTTGAAAATGCAACCATTTGCATAACCCACAGAAATTTGGCTACCAATACATTTTCTCAATCAAGCAGTGTAATACAGATGGATTTTTATTGTATAGATTTGCTTAATGTTATTGTACATATTTATTTTTACCGTAACTAATAAAAATAGTTCTAATGGTTAACCTCCCCTCAAAAAATAAGTTAAATGGAGCAGTTCTGCTCCCTTTAGTTATGGAATTCTGCTACAACTTTAACTAAAAAAATAAACAAAGGAGCATTTTGTAGTTATTGTAAAAAGGATTAGCACTTTGTGGTAGTTTACAGGTAGTACTTTTTCCCAAACTGTAAATTGTTCATATGATTAAAATTTTTTTAGCTTCTTTTTGCTATTCTTTTATCAACTGTGTATTTATTTTATTGAAATTTTGTAAAATTTTTAATTTTTAGTTTCATCAGCTAAGAACCTTAATCGAGGGCCAATGAAAATTAAATCTCCAAAATGTGTAAACCAAGATGATTTTTCAGACTTGAATGACAATAAATGTCTGCTTGATAAACAAATGAAAAGGGATGCTTCTGTTTCAAAAAGTAAAGCAAAAAAGTTAGCAAGACTGGAGAGAAGATCATCATCTACTGAAAATCCTAGTGATTCTATATGCAAAAGTTCAACTGATGAGCAGAATGAAACTGATGCCAAACAATTGCCACCAACATTATCAACATCTGATCCTGATGTTACAGTCATTCAGGACATTTCTTCGTATGTATTACTTTTTTTAATGTGATCTCATATACCTTTATGCTTTTAATTTACAAAGAATCTTGAGATTTTTTAAATAGAATGATAGAATATGTTTAATGAGTTGATAATAACTGTTTTTTAAACATGTAGTAAAATTCTAAAAAAGGATTTTTTTTAAGAAATAAAGATTATATAGTTCGATTGTCTCAAACACAACCATGGCTAGCATTCTGCCAAAACATATATACTCGTCCAAAATGGGCATTATTACTTGCTGCGACATAAAAGGTCACATGAAACTCTTCTCTTCTCTGGAAAGAAAGAATTTACATTCGAGGAAAAGAAAGTTCACATTCTTCCTCCTATTCTGAGAATAATTTGGTCTGAATGGCGCATGTGTATTTGCGCTCATGGTTGCGGATGCGGTTAAACTATATCAGGGATTGCATGTGATTTATTTGAATCGGAGAGATACCAGTATTGAACAAGATTAGCATGTGTAACAGTATTTTATTTATCTAGGGTTGGCAGTAAGCATAGATAATATAGCTGCTAGCTGTCTTCAGCAGCAGCTAAGTTAGTTTTACAAATGAATACTTTAAATTAATATGTTCAATTTATATGCTGCTAAATGTACTGATCACTTAGGGCATGAAAAACTCTGAAACCAGGTTTGTATTATTATAATCTTTCATTATGTATAAAAGAAAACTATTTTGTTACTGTGTCCACCTTCGCCAAAGAAAAATACAGTCAAAAGTCTTCAATCCGGACTCGTCGGGACTTCGGCGATCCTGGATTATCGATTTTCCCGGATTATAGATCATCAGTTTAAATCTGGTAAGATGGCATGCAGAAATTATAAAATTAAAAATATGAAACCGTAATTTATGAAATAAAGAGCAATTATGATCTAAAGGGTATCAAAATTAACAAAAAGAAAAGCTTAATATTTATTTGTTTATTTTATTAAACATTTCTTGCAATGCACATATGCGTAAAGCATACATTACGCATAGTCAAAATTAGAAAATTGCAACCAGAAAACTATTTGATGTGTATTCGTGATATTTATAATGAATTTGATTTAAATCATATCAAAGACAGAGTACATCGAGATGAAATACTACATTTAGTAATGAACTATAAGCCAGATAAAATAAAAACATCTGCCCTGAAGATAAGGATAGTGCAGATATCAACTACCAGTTCATTGTGCACCACGACCTTCCCCTTTCTTGCAGAGCAGCGTGAAATTGATAAGCAGATTTCAGAATGGTTAGAGAAACAAAGGATATGCCTTTATCCATTTTTTGCAGCAATTCCACTTTTTGTTTGATGGACATTGAATTATGCTTTCGCTTTGTAGATCCTTTGGCAGTATCCAGCATCAGAAATTCTTTTTGACATAATCGAAAGTTCAAGCTTACTTTTATAAAATTGCTCTAACAGTCTGCAAAAAAGCCGGATCCAAGTCGAAGATTAAGGAACAACGCAATCTGCAACATTAACTGAAATAGATAATTAGATAATTTTATCTTAGCTTATACCGTCCGTTATACATTAAACGCACATGCATTACGCATAGTCGTAAAGCATACATTATGCATAGTCGAAATTAGAAAATTGCAACCAGAAAAGTATTTGATGTGTATTCGTGACATTTATAATGAATTTGATTTAAATCATATCAAAGACGGAGTACATTGAGATGAAATACTACATTTTAGTGAGGAATTATAAGCCGGATAAAATGAAAACATCTGCTCTGAAGATAAGGATAGTGCTGACAGACCCAGTTCATTGCACAGCGCGTACCCCCTCGCCGCAGAACAGCGTGAAATTGATAAACATATTTCGGAATGGTTAGAGAATCAAAGGATATGCCTTTATCCATTTTTTGCAGCAATTCCACATTTTGTTTGATGGACATCGAAACATGCTTTTGCTTTGTAGATCTTTTGGTAGCTCCAGAATCGGAAACTCTTTTCTACATAAACAAAAGTTCAAGCTTACTTTTTGTAAAATTGCTCTAACAGTCTGCAAAAAATAATAATCCGGATCCAATTAGAATATTAAGGAACAACGCAATCTGCAACATTAACTGAAATAGATAATTAGATAATTTTAGCCTAGCTTATACCATCCGTTATACATTAAACGTGCATGCGTAAACGGATATTTACATGTGTGAACACATTATGCATTGACACATGCGAAGAAAGTTTGTAGCTTTGAGATCCGGATTATAGATCATTCCGGATTAACGACTTTTGACTGTAATATAATTTTGAAGATAATAATAATAATAATAATAAAGATGTAGGTTATAACATTTAGTTACTTTAAAAATCTGTTACACTCATTGTATAAGTAAAAGTTTGGAAATGACATAAATTTAAAATTTGTTCCTTTAGATAGTTGTTCTATAGGTTTTCAAAGTGATAATATTAACGGTAATGATAGCTATTATGATAATAGTGTTATATAGTAAACTTTTCAGTGAATGTAACTTTTGATAAAAGCAGCAGCAAACTAACGTCCGTTTAGAAAGAAAAATAAATGAAAGACTTTTGGCATCATTCAAATAAAGACAAAATATTTTATATGGGAATTGCACAAAATAATAACTACATTTCATTAAAAAAATCAAATTTTTTTCGTTACATAACAAAATTTAAAGGTAACAATCTAATATTTTGAATAATATTGTTGCTCTTATTTTTCAAATTCGTATTTATGTACATTTTAACTTAAAAATTTGAAAAAATTAGTTCAAATTAAAGATGTTGTTCTGACTTATCCGTTAACATCAGATCAAATTCACAAATTTTATCGTGGCCAGTAGTGCATCTGTCATCGTCATGGGCATTTGACCTGTGACAGGTTACAGTACAGCTTTGCCATTTCTTCCCAATTTTGAAGAAGAATGTCCCAGGGGCAGGTTCAAGAGTCCCCCAGCCCGCTCTAGAGGACTTTAGCTTGCCATTTATTTTAAGTGCTTAATGCTGCAAAGACACTATACACTAATGAACATCCAAGCCTTCTCCAAGATTCAAACTGCAGCAGTGCTAACTATTATTTCTCAAACTTTTTAGCTTGATATAACCCTTACACCATTGATACAAGATCATTCCCCCTCTTTTCTGAAAAAAATACGTATCAAATTTGGATTTTTCTAAAAACTTTTATTATAAATTAACTTTTTGAAGGGTGGTGGCTACCTACAGTAACAACCTTTTCTATTGAACGTCTTACTCACTCGTGTGAGTGGTTTTCAAGACTGACCGTTTCTGAAGTTTCCTTGTAGCTTGTATTATTATTATGGCAATCAAGAAACATAAGCCAGTAGTTGATGCAGCAATTCGTCTTCAAGAAAATAAGCATCAGCCATCGAAGACAACATCACGACGATGTGCAGTCTGCAGCACTAAGAAAATGCCTGTATGAACAGTGTGGGAATGCAGCACATTCAAAGTTGCACTCTGCTTGAAAAAGAAAAACTGTTTCCATGAGTACCACAGAGACTGATTCGTAGGGATGTGTTCTGTGGGCGATGGTCACTGACACTAACCACCAGAAGGGGCCATTTTTTTTACGCATCTTGGACAAAATATGTGTAATTGTCGCAAATAACTTCGTTGTAACACCTCATATAGTAAATAAAACAAAAGTTTTGCTGAAAAAGTTTATTGCTTTTTCCTGCCCCTCAAAGAGACTTTAAACAACAGAAAACATAGGAAATGTTGATAAATACCAAAACTTGAATAAAATTTGTATTTTATATTCATAAACTGTAACTGTATACATAACAGATAAATAAAAGGCTAAATACATTTTCCTGTGGTTGAGAACCCCTGCACTATACAGTAGTTGGTTGAAGGTAAAATGAGGCATCCAACTGAATCCCCCCCCCAAAGGCAAATCGTAAATGCTGATCTAGTTAATGTAGTGTGACATAAGCTGCAAAATTATGGGAAATATAGAGATTTATTGTGTTTAAAATTATGAGAGTAGGCTATGATTATGGTAAAATATTGTTTACAAGACACAGCTGTAGAAGGAAAATAAAACTTAATAAGAGATCTTGTTGTCAGACAGAATTTGTATTTTGGAGAAAAAGACTGATATATGAATGTGGTTGTTGGGCATAACACACATTATTTAGAATCCATTTTTGGCTCAAACAATATGAAGGGGCTGTGGAAATTAAATATTTATAAGAGAATTGCTAATAGAATTTCATTTTATTGCCATTAAATGCAAAATACAGACTATGGTGATATCAGAAGTATAAAACATGGAATGGTGTAATGTATCGGTCTTTATAATATCCTTTATCTTAAGGCATGCTTATTTATCAAGACAGAAGAGAACATACTAAGTAAAACATAAAATTAGGGAAAACAACAACCTTATGTTTGGCATAGATTTTAGTCAAGATTTTGTCGATTTCGACGGCAGACAGGAATGCTGTATTTATACTCAAAAGGAGTAAAGTGAACAAGAGGTAGTGCCATCTGTCAGCAGGAATAGAAATGAAAATTGAAAAATTAAGTAACAGAATTTTAAAAGTGAAGGACTGGATTGGATTTAATAATATTTTATAAAATTAACTAAAGATAAATCTTTGAGAATGTGAAAAGCTTCAAGAAAATCCACTTCACCAATGAAAGAAGCTTTCTGGATAATTTTTTGCAGATCAGAAACAAAAATTGTGATTAAATTTTCAACAATGATCAGCCATCAAAAACTTGTTAATTTTGTTTTTTTGGAATCAAAACATGGATTAATTCGACTCAGATTTAGATTAATTTCGAGTCGAAAGAGGCATGGCATAAAACTCTCATATTCTGATAACAAAACATCATGAAAGTCACTGGTATAGCCACAAAACATATTATGAGTTTATTCGGAATAAATAAAAAGTATGTTATGAACCATGAGTCATGAGTTAGCTCATGATATTTATTTTGAACAAATTTTCAACGACTGACTTAACATGGAATAACTAGGCAAGCGGTTAAGAATGATATGGCCATCAATGAATGTGTTGAAAATTTTATGCAATATGAATATTATTTAAGCAATAATATCGAGCCTGCATATTTATTTTTTAAACAATACATAATTTTGTAGAATTATTTATATCAACTTTTTAATAATTATCTAACTAATCTGCTGCTGTTTTATTATGACTTAAGATTATATTTATTATTGCTGTTTTATTAGAAATTAAGAAACTTACTAGGTGTTTTTAAAACAAAGGATCACAATAGTATAAAATAGAACTATTGTCATTCTTTTAATTCATGTGTGTGTCTGTGTGTGTGATTAACTTGTGGAAAGATTTCAAAAGTGATATATAATTTTTAGGGAGAAAAGTATATATTCTGAAATAATAGATGCTTTTGCAGTGAAAGAAGAGAAGAACAAGATCAAAGTCTGCTACCATTAGAAGTGTTTGAATTAAGGCAAAAACGCATAGAAGCAGAAAATGCAAGACGTAGAGCTCTTATAAACAAAGCAATCATGGATAAGTGAGTTTGGATTTTACTATTTTTTTATGAAATTTAATACTAGTTTTTATGAACTTAAAAAATGGTCTGTGCATATGAAACTATTGTTAGTTTAGCTCATCTGTCAAACATATTCCAGTTTTTGGTTGCATTTCATTTAACGAAGTACACTAAAATGTTTTTTTTGAACGTGATTAAAATTTTTGTAAATCAGCACATGTCTTTTTATAATTTGGCATTGTTCCCATAGCAGTGCACCTTAAATTGTGGCAGAAGCATTGCAGATGAGTCTTAAAAGACAGTTTATTGATATATCATGTCAGTGTAGGATTCTAGTTACTCTTCCTAGTATCACAAATATGACACTTTTACTCTTTCATCATCTTTTTCATTCAGATGACTTTAGAAGCTGGCAACAGTTAACTTGAGTTACGGATATAACAGTATACATGGATGTCTGAACCACATAGATTTCAGTTAATCCATCTAGAGATGTTATGCAGTTTTGATCTTGAACTCACCCAATATTCCATTTAATATTTTTTCTTTCAGCAGGGTTTTATGTATAAAAATTATATAAAATTATCCTTATTTCCCTTGATAGCAATGTATAGCATTATAATGTAATGTTCCTTTTTACACCCAAACTGTGCCCACCAGCGGCCAAGCGGTAAAGATGCTGAACATTGGTAGTTCAGCCCGAGGTTCGAATCCCACGAACGGGCTGGCTGCATGGGCGTTTTCCCCATGTGTAACGTGTATACGAGCCAGTTTCCCTTAGAAAGTCCTCCATGAAGGCATCCTTTCCCTTAGGCAGATAGCCCTTGTGTGCTTTGCCATAATTGAATAATCCAATCCTTTACACTCAAACTGTTTTTTTACTTGTCTGGTTAACTGTGGTAGCATATGATATTTAAGAAAAAAGATAAGAATTTTATGAACAAAAGGAAGAACCTGAAAATGATTTTAGCAAATAATACAGTACTGAATTCATTGTCAAGCAGTTGTCATTTTGCTTTTTTGTACCTTTTACAGTACTACATAAAAACAGAAAATATATCGCTCTGCACAATTCAAACGTTCTTTTATTGCTAAAAATACTTTTATAAAGATTTTTAAACAATGTATTGATATTTTTTAAAAGGGTTAAGGTGAAGAAATTTTGTAATTTTTATATATTATTCTCTAGAAGTATTACTATCATTTTCAAAATAAAACTGAATATTTTTTACTTATACATTTTTTCTCCGATTTTGAATGTATTTTTCCCTTTTTAGAATGAGAAAATCTTTGAGCATTAATACAAAATTAATTAAGAAACTGATTTTTCAATTTATAGGAAAAAGAGGACACAGGCAGAAACTGATAAATTAGCAAAAATTACAGCAGAATTAAATCGTCTTGATAGTATTTTAAGTGCCGATGTCTCCATACTACGCAATTACATTGAAAAAGCAAGTATGGAATTTTCTGAAGCTGAGTAAGCATAAGTTTCGATAATTTATATAAATTTTAAAATAAGTGACTCGCTAATTATGCCATTTTAAATGCATTTTTGTTTATTGCTTACATATATTAAAAAATGTGAGTAATTTCTGTATTAAGTATTTTTCTGTATGTTTTTTTATTGAAATAAAAGTGACAGCTAGTGTGTAGTAATTTGCAGTTGAATTTTGAATACATATATCAGTCTATATACAGTATAATCCCTTTTAATTGGCAGCAATGGAACCACTCTGATTTCAGATAATGAATTTATATTTCTAGAACTAACTCATGTTTTATGATTCCATGTATAGAAATTGTGGAATGCAAAGTCCATCAGTAGTGTTTTTGATTTGTCTGCGACAATTAAATTAATAATATAAAAAATTGTACAGATTGTTTAAAATTAAAACACACCACAACATGTTTAAAATTGAAACACGTAGAGGATTTTATATTCTATAAAAGAACAAATTAAACAATTTAAAATTATGATATTTTTTATCACACAAAAGTTACGAATTTCTAGTGTGATGGCATTTTTTATCACATGAAAGTTACGAATTTCTTAGTGTGATGGCATAGTACAGGCATCGCCAAACTGTGGCTCTCAGGCTCCTTAACTGCAGCCTGCGAGGCGCTCAAGGCTGTTTGACCCCTTAAGTGCAACTTGACTGCAACAAACAAGTGTTTCATTGTTTTCAAAATACATTTGCTGTTCAAAACAGAACACATGCAATGACACGCATCCTTTTATCAATGAGTAATTTAATTTTTAAATTAATTTATGTGCATAATAATTTAATCTATTTCAATTTGTCCATCTTGCATCCAGGGTCGTTCCTAGGCCATTTTTCTGCCCGCATAATTTCCTAGGATTGCTGCCCCCAAATTTAAAAAAAAAGCTCAATGATTAATAAAATTTTTATTTCATACTTGCCAAGTACTTACATAAGACAAATACTTACAATAAATTTGAGGAATTTAAAATATTAATCATGGTATCATGAGAGTCCGGCCACCCACGTTCTTTTATGTACACCAGTCATCACAGTAGCAAATAAAATAGTAAATAATTTGATTTGTGCGAAGTATAATGACCATGTTGTTTTCAAACCAGTCAATGGACATAAGAATAGCTCAAAAGACAGATGTGAAGGTTAGTTAGAAAATAATGCACTGTAATTTTTTTCCCTTCAGATGTTATTTTATTTCAGGCAGCTTCTTCCTGCCTTGTTACACATTCTTTACAAAAGCCAGTAGCTCGACAGAAGACTATACTACAGTTTATTCTAACTACTATAAACTTCACGTAGCGCACTGTAAAATTCTATTACTGCTTTAGTGTGTAAAATTTCAAATTACAGTGTTTGATTTTCTACTATAGCTTTCCAAATACTGCAGGAAATCTTTCAAACCCTCATTATTTTAAATTGATTAGTAACATTGGCATCCAATCTATAAGAGCTTGTACCCTGCGAAGGCAAAAAAAAAAAAAAAAAAAAAAAAAAAGGAATGGGAGAGACAGTTCCATATCTCCCGTTCTACTGGGCCGGTTGACAAAATTCAAATTGCGTTTTTCATGTCTTGAAAGTGCGACTGAGGATACATATTAGATTTATGTATAACATTGCTCTTAATATAGGGATTTTTACACAAAAATTGGACTCTTGCTGAAATAACATGCCAGTTTCTTTTCCATATTTCGATTATACGATTCAAATTATTCCTAAATAATATTTGTAAAATTTGGTGTGAAATTTATGGAGAAATTCAAAAATTTAACTTGGCACATTTTTTTTTTTTTTTTTTTTTTTTCCAGTTTTCACTAAGAATAATTCACTTGGCAAACTTCTTAATTTATAGCAATTTGTTTTCCTTTCTTCCTTACAAACTTTCCTTCCTTACAAACAGGGGGAAAAGTCATCTTTCATACTTTCAAATAATTTTAACAAGGTGCGTAAACCACATTTGGCATTATTATTGCTTATAACAAATATGCAATATTTCTAAACGCACCATTTTTTAAATTCATGTATATTTTAGAAAATTTTGGATAAAAAACTCTTAATTTTTTGCAGGTTTGCCCAGAAATACATCTACTTGATTGATGTTAAAAACAGAGTTGCCAACTCTCCTGATTTAGGCAGGTGACTCCCGATTTTCGACAGCTCTCCCGCCAACCCGATTTACAATATATTTCTCCCGACTTTTTCTTATTCTTAAAATTCCTCACGATTTTTATGGAACTTGGCGCTTAATAGTTTGTTATCTGAACAAAAAGGAAAAAAAAAAAAAAAAAAGAGAATTTTGGACGTCTGAAAGCAATTGAATTTTCTCTAGATTATATCTCAAACAAAACCTTGCGAATCAGATAACTTCTGCTTTGTGAGTGAGAGCATATACGTATCCAGAAACGTCATTCTCCAGTTCTCCAATAGGTACTGAGCTCCACTGCGTGTCATCTGGCATATATTAGCCAATGAAGACAAAGCAAGCTGTTATTTGGATGTTCTTTAGGTATTTCGTTCATTTTGTTCTGAGTTGTGTGAGTACATGTGCCTTCAAGAAATAGTTTTAGAAATTACCATCTTTTGTTATGTCTGCGAGAAAGGTGAAATACTTGTGTATGTTTCAAAAATCGTAAACAGTTGACTTTCCTTCCATTATTTCCTCAAGGAAATGTAATGAATTTGTGATGTGTAATGCCTGTCCTTGCGATTTTTTGATTTCGCATGGTGGAAGGGCGATGTTCTCAAACATGTGCGTACACAAAAACACAAGGACAACATGAATTGTTTTGAAAAAATGAATAATTAATTTTTTCTTTGGAAACAAAGGACCAAAAAGTTATTTAATGCAGAATGTCTGTTCTCTGCCTTTTTACGGCACAACCTGTCACTGAATGCATCTTATCACGCTGCAGCTTTATTTAGAAAAATGTTTCCCGATTGTGAAATCGCTAAGAAATACTCAAGTGCAAGAACCAAAACAGGTGTAATTGTTAAAGAAATGGGTTTAAAAATAAATCTTCAGTTATTGATTGCATTAAAACACCTCCGTTGTGCCTCTCTACGGATGGAAGCAATAATACCAATTTGAAACTGTATCCAATTGTTGTTTAGTTTGTTTTCAGTAGAGTTTAATTGGAAAACTGAAAGGTGCTGATGGAATTTTAAAATATAGTGAACTGTCTAGAATTATGTTGGCCATCTTTGACAGTTCCCCATAGTAATGCAGAGTGTGAGAGGATTTTCAGTGTTGTTGCAAAACCGAGGACTAAATTTAGATCTAATATTAGTGATGACACATTAGATAAACTTTTATTAGCGAAAGCAGGCCTACGTGGCAATTGCTATGAACAAAATTATGAAGTTTCTTAAATAAAGCAAAATCTGCTACTGTTTATTACATTTGTATGAAAACTGATTAAAGTTTCTTTTTTTTTTCTTTTTTTGTTTTCTTAAACGATGCAAGTAATAAAAATGTTTTTTATGTGTAAGGTATTTTTGTGTTGCTTGCATTTAAGAATTAGTTACTATTTAAAGTTAATTCAATATTAAAAACTATATTTTTATCATTTAAAAAGTCTTTTTAACATTGGGAAAAATCTCCTGATTTCTTTAAAAAATTTCCTGATTTTTGAGTGTCATAGGTTGGCAATTATGTAAAAAATTTATAGGTTATAATTCAAAATTTTTTTCCAAAAAGTTATAAAAATTATTTAAAAATACATATTTTAAAAATAAATCATAAAAATGGGTGAATTTTATGTGGAATGAAACTAAATTTCAAAATGTGAAAGGAGGAATAAAATAAGTTTAATCCAAAAATAGATATTAACAAATATATACCAAATTCAATTAACACTGAGGAGTATAAAGTTTTTAAAAACTACTTCTGCGATTTGGCATAATTTGAGTCGTAGAATCGAATATTAGAACAATGCTATATATAAATCTAATACGTATCCTAAGTCGCGTTTTCGAGACATGAAAACCGCAATTTGAATTTTGCAATCGGACCAGTACAACTGGAGATATAGAAATGTCCCCCCTTTTTTTGTGCAGTGTATAATATTTTATATTACATTTTGTTTAATATTTCTGGAAATACCCATCATTAATCTCAAATACACCTTGTGTACGACAGGAATATTAGTGTGAATTTTCTTTGTATAGCTGATCATCCTTTCAGGTATACCTAGCTCATAAAACTTTGTTTTTATTGACCTAATTGAAGTTTTTATGATTAGGTTGATATTGGGGGGGTAGAGATTTCATTCTGATTGCATCTCTGAGGTTTCAGCATTGCTATTTTATGTAATATCTTTTTATGGACCTATGTTCATTTGCATTACGATGATGTATCTCAATTATGTATAATTTTCAATTTGTGTTTTAAAAACTATAACTCATATCCTGAATTTCTGCCAATTTGAATCTGAATTATGAAAGATTTCCGAATTTTACAAACATTGTATCTCTTGAATCTTTCAAATAAAAATCAGAAGAAAAAAGAAACTTTGACTTAAAAGTTTTTAAATAATAATAGAGTTTGAAATCTCTATTTAATGAAAAAAAAAAAAAAAAAATAAGAATGCTTTTTTTCAAAAATACAGTTAAAATTTGATAAACATATTTGAGTATTAGCTCAGATTTCAATTAACATTTCAAAATTCAGCAACCAAAGCATGAGCAATTATCTATATCTAGAATTATCGATATAATTCAAGAATTATTTTCAAGAAAGCACAGTGCTTCAATTACTTGAGTAAGAATTCTATTTATCTAGAATTATCGAGCTAATTCAAGAGTTGTTTTCAAGAAAGCGGAGTGCACCAATTACTTGAGTGAGAGTTCCGAAAGGTTTTTGTTAGATGTCATGCTGAAACAGTGTCGTATTTAGGGTAAGTTTAGTGGATCAGATGCCATTGAAAACTGAAAGGTTTTAGATTTTAAATTATTTCTAAAGTGGCATTTATTTTAACGTTTTGTATGTTACCTTTATTTATTAAATATCATGTTTTTTACACTCAGTTCAACAGCAATGTCACAAAATAATTTTAAAATGAGCATATCTTTAGAATTTCCAATACATAGTTCCATGCACTGGAGATAAAAAGGTTCTTTTCCCCCGTAGAGAGTTGCCGTTGCTCACTTTTAAATCATTGAGTTTGTTAATCAAAACTTTGTTAAATGTTTTACAAAATATAAAATCGATAATAAAACAAATTTGGGCCTCCAGATGCCCATATTCACAATAGAATTATGTCATTCAAAATTGGATGACTCTAGGTCCCCTTGTTATATCACAATGCAAGAAACATACATACATTTTATGCAGATTCATCATTATTTAATTTCTTCAAATATAATACAAGGCAGTAATATTTGGTTGCAATGATTTGAAAAGTGATACAGCCTTTTAATGTTTTCAACGCAAAACGAAAACAATAATTCTTCAGGGACAAAGCCCCTTTGGAATAAAGAGGCTAAGATTTGAGTTTTAGAAATTTCAGTCTTTTTGAATACTTGAATGTTTCATCCTTATTTAAAAAATAAAGTAACTGATAGTCAGAGGACGAGTCTCAATAGATTGCAGTATGGTGGCTGCTCTACTGCTTACAACACCCAGACTAGTACCCAAGTAACGTACAGACGATTTGGCTCCTGCACAGCATGGATTTTAAAGTGGGGATCAAGTCCAATAGGCCTCATCACCAGAGTAGTGTAACCCGTCCGTGACAGATGTACACTCTGGCTAAAATAGCCCATCAATTATGTAGGGCTACATTTTGATCTTAGTATATTGGTTCTCATTTAAATAGTATGAAAAAAACTATATTATTTTTGTATAGAATACTGAAAAAGTTTTCAACTTATTTTAAATCGGTTTTTCAACTTATAGACTTTAATATAAGTTGAAAAACCGATTACTTTAATAAATAAACAATTTTTCAACTTATATCTTTTCTCTAAGTGCATGTATATGAGCCAGTTTCACATAAAAAGTTTTTATAAAAATATATCCCTCCTCCTTCAGCGTGTGACCTTCTTATGCTTTATCAAATTGAAGCAATCGGTTTTTCAACTTATAGACTTTAATATAAGTTGAAAAACCGATTACTTTAATAAATAAACAATTTTTCAACTTATATCTTTTCTCTAAGTGCATGTATATGAGCCAGTTTCACATAAAAAGTTTTTATAAAAATATATCCCTCCTCCTTCAGCGTGTGATCTTCTTATGCTTTATCAAATTGAAGCAAAGCTTTCTCAAATAGCGCTATCCCGTTTTACATATCGTACTTATTAGAAAAATCTCTCGACCTGTTTTAAAAAATTATTGCTTTATTTTTCACCCAAATGAAAAGATTTCATCTTGTTGTACTTGCAAAGACCATCGTGCTAAAAACCATTCAACAATTATAAATGGGGGAAAATGGAAGGAAACTAGAAGAAAATGCTTGGTTTTCTGTCTGAAATGTTGTGTTGCAACGTATGATAGCTTCAGATCTGTATATCATATAGAAAAGTTTTCCTGAATATACAGCAAAAGAAATAAAAGTTCTTATTTATATGCAGCGATATTAGTTATACTAAAATGTCAAATTCTCATTAATTTACTTCAAATGTTTCTTTTCGTGAAAATCTAATTCATTACTTTTAAAATGATTTAAATAAGGAATTGTAACTGTAAGAAAAATCTAACTGTGGATCTCGGAAGTTTCCTGAATGCTAACATGTGGCTTACTGTCTTAAGGTTTTGTCGCTCCTGTCGTGTAACTTTGAATGTCTGCCTGCTTACGAGAGTATCATTGTAAATTTAAAGATTCGCTATATATTCATAACATAATGTAACGTTTCCTAGTACATATCCAGTTATTTTACCATAATCTTGAGAAAATACAAAGGAAACAGAATGGTCTACGTCGATTCAAGCTTGCATATCCTCTTCACTTCTCTGAATATATAAGTAAATCCAAGATGTCTAACATATGAGCACCAGATGTATTTTAAAACCAGGAGACTGTTTGTCACTCAGCTCATCATCTATGAATATGATCTCAGGCCAAAATTTACAGCAATGTAATGTTCTTTATGCCTTTCCCGGAAAGAGATAAAGTAAATATGGTGTTCTTCAGTGTGAATTGTGAAATCATAGACACAATTTTCAAAGTTCACACATGGATGCATAAAAAGGGATCAGTATTTCTATATAATTCTTTGATTCACTAATTGGATACGGATTGTGTTATTGAGTAAACAGAAACATAACATAAACATTTTCAGCATTCAAGTTGTCAGATTGTTAGGTCTTTTTGCCTTGAAAGCTAAATAGATGGATTTAAATTTAGACTGCAAAAATTTTGATACTGTCGGTTAATTGAGTGCATAATTATGAGGGATTTTACTTTATATCAGTATTATTTGTAGGATTCAAACTTTCTGATCATATTTTGCTTGCTTTGATGTTTTCTGACTGTTATGCACTTATATATATATATATATAAAATCTTTTTTTTTTTTTTTTTTTTTTTTTTTGCAGAAAGAGATACTTAAAAGCTGAAAAAGAATTTGTTGAAGCGAAATTATTGTTATTTGAGAAAATGCAGAGGAAAGAACAACTTACTGAACATTTGTGTGCAATTATTGAACAAAATGAAAACAGAAAAGCCAATAAACTTGTTGAACTTATGAAGCAACTAGAAATGGACTCTATCATAGAAGATTATGAAGTAAATGAAGTTCAACCAGTACGTGGGTAAAATTTTTATTTGGATCGAGTTATTTAATAATAGCAAAGTATGCTCGAGCTATATATCTTTGTGGATAAATCATTTTTAAGCTTCACATTTACAATCCATGAAAATCCCATGCACTGCATTATTCAACATCTAGAAACAGAATCTGATATTTTAAATTTATCTAGATTAAAATAAACATACATTGTCCAGCCATATTGTTAACACACTCATTTGATAATATAATGGTGAACACTTTTAAACGATTCACTGTTATACACAGTGAGACAATTTTAGACATAAAAGAAGGCAAGAGAATGTTTAATTGTTAAAATAATTTTGTTTTATAAGTTAGAAGAAATTTGTATGGTTTTAATATATAAATATGAACTGGGCGTCACCATCAAAGTCGAGTTCAGTACAAAAAATGTATATGTGGTGAGACTCCTCATTTCTGCTTAAAGGGTTCATTTTAATTCTCATGCATCTTCTCCTTGAATGCTGGAGATTATAAAATATGCAACTTTCATAATAATAATGGTACATTTATCTTTTCAAATATTTAAGCAAACAAAAATATTTACATTTTCAATATTCATTCAAACTGCTTTTAGTGGAAATAAAAGCTTAATCATGACTTAATATACTAATAATGCATTCTTATGCTGCTTCCTGTACCTGAACAGCATGATTTTTTTTTCTGGGGGGGGGTATCTTGATTTGGATAGTTTTGTAGTAATCACTTCTTTTGTTGCTTCTGTTTTCAGTTAGATTAATATCAATTAAATTTCCTGTCTGAGGCAATCTCTTCTTGCAAAAAATATTTTATTGTCTTTTTTTAAGGAGTTCCACTATGGATTAAAACATAGGGTTTCCTCTTTGGGATGGAATTTCTTAGTCCAGGCAAAAAGAAAACCACGTATGTTGCTCTTCCTTGACTGAACATGCTCCACGCAACTCTTAACCCTCCAAGGATTTATCCAAATCCCAGAATTTTATGATAAAGAAGCTATTTATTGATTACAATTCCAAAATGTATATGCCACCGTGTCATATGGATTCTTTTAGTTCAAATTACTACCTTAATTATTGGCTGTTAGGTTATATTTATTATTAAGAAAAATATTGTTATTAAGATATACATATGGTTTGGCTGATTTGAAGACACATAAAATACTACTGCCTAGATATATTTATCAAGATTTCAGGTGTGCATTCTTCATTAAAAAAAATCTTGTAAAAAAGAGAAAAACTACTGATTATTTAATGTAAGATTTTAAAGTTTAATTTTGAATTCCAAAGAGATGTTATTAAAATAAAACTATGAAAAATTCAAGAAAAATGTACCTTTTTTCATTGATACAGTGGTATTTAATTTGCGTCTATAAACAAGCCTTTTGGGCTCCAAATATCTAGCTGAAGTCTGCACTTTATTATTCTTTTATCTGCATTATTGTCACTAATTCTGAGATGGGATGTAATTTCTTTTATAAGTTTGTTTTCAAGACAGATTTTCTTCAAGAAGTGTTGTGATTTTTAAGAACTTGAAGATTGTGCACATTTTGTTGAAGAGTAGGTCAAATTCAACATGAAAAATCATGTTGAGAGTTGGTAGTACAGAAAAAGAACTATCCAAGACCCTCAGATTCCCTCTTGTGGAGCTTAAACTGGGATAAACATATAGCACTTCTGTACTTTGCCTAAGTTAATAACTACAGGATACTAATAGACCATTTTCTGTCTGTAACAAAAGGAGTATGTACTTATGAAACTTTTCAAATACATTTATTCTTATACAAATTTTAACTTATGTAAGTCAATGCTACAACTACCATTGATTAATAGATGCCATTTCTACCTAGGGGAAGATCTATTATTTTGATGCCTTGATAGTTGAAATTGTATGAGGAGGTATTCTTTTGTCTCTGATAGATAATAGTCTCTTGGCACCCTATAGTTCATTATGCATGTCAGATTTGCCCTCAGGAATGTTTCTTTTAGAAGGCCTATTCTTATAATTAAACCAGCTTTAGTTAAAAGACACCTCCTGCTGTTTATGTTATTTCATTAAAAGCTATACAATAGTTAAGGGAAGTTAATACTGTATAATTTTTTTTAACAAGTACAATTTATTATTCTTTAACAATTAAATTTTGTTTTAATAGATATTGACAAATCTTTGTATGCTGAATGATGAAGCTTATCACTTTTGCCAAACACTGAAACCCTGCTCATCACCGATCACAACTAATGCAGAAGAAAACCAGACAAGAAAATCAAATGATTCTTTTTTGCAAGCCAGTGCTGACCATCAGGTGCGGGACACCGAATCAGAATCTCTACTGGCATCCAACCCAGAACCTTGTAATAATGATAATGAAAGGATAGCAGATGTTGCTAATCCTGCACCAAAAGAGTTGAAGTCATAATACCAGGTGTGTAGTTTTAAGAAAGATAACATTTTTAACATATGCTTTCATAAAATATTATTATGTTCTGTGTAAATGCATATGATGTCGATATCTAACTTTATTATTACTTTTATGGTCAAAAGTTAATATGAAACTTTGGTCATAACAGAGTAATAGAGTAAGGAAGAAGTGCCGAGTATGCTTGTAAATGTGTAAGTTAAGTTATTGGGATGGAAGATAAGCTTGTGTTAATAATTAATATACATAAAAGCTATACATCAATAAAGAAAAATAAGTTAGATGTTTAACAATGTATAGTACCATGGGAATTACAAAAAGAGTGTGTTTGTAGTTGATCGCTCAAACTGTTTATATTTCACAGATTTTTTTTTTTTTTTTTAATCCCAAATAGGCATTAGCCTAGAAGGGCTATTAGTCTTGAAATAGCACTTTTATGTCGAATTACTTTAAATGTCAAAATCATTTGTTAAATTGTTGCCACTAAATATTATCGCTCTATATTATATTTAAAGAAACTAAATAATGAAGCATCTACATGAATGTATGTATGTTTCTTGCATTGTGAAAAAATACTACCTAGCGTCATCAAATATTGAATAACACAGTCCTCCACCTGAATATGGGCACCTGGAAGCCCAAATTTGGAATTTCAGATGTTTTATTATCTATTTCATATTTGGTAAAACTTTAACAAATTTTTGATTAAGAAAACAATTTCAAACCAGGCAGTGGGAATAAAACATTTTAATCTCTAGTGTGTTAAACTGTCCATCGGAAATTCTAAAGATATGATGTTTTTAAATATTTTTAGCAAAATGCTCTCAAAATGTGTATGTTTCTGTAAGTGGGGGGGGGATGCCCATTTGTGCATAATATAAGATCTGAAAGCTTCCAGATATTTTTTTTTTCCTTTTTAAAATTTAAACCACAGTTATCATTATTTGAGGTTGCACGACAAGAGAATAAAACTATTGTAACTTTTTTTAATAATGTATATATTATATTAACGAATTAAAGTTTAAGAAAACAAACACCAAAATAAGTAATTATACAAATTTAATTAATAAATGTTGTTTAAATACAAGTCTTCACGAGAGCAGATCTGAAAAGTTGTGTCACTCACAGGTTAATAATAGTTTTTGAATTTAAATGACCACATCAGATGTATTGTTTGGTTTCATATATTCTAAAAAGCTGCACTCTAAATCTGACGTCTCTAAATATAATGCTTAATGAACTAAATTTAACCTAAGAAAACATGCTTATTATATTAGTAAGTAATCTTCAGTTAAAAATAATTCTGAATTAACAAGTTAACTGTATTTGACAATCTGCTGCTGAATGTCATTGACGTTCAGGAATTTGTATCGGCGTTGTATTACAAGAATAATTATATCAAGTAAATGCAATTATTAATTAGTGGGTGCTAAGAATAAAAATAAAAATCAGCGTAATATTTTTTAAAAAATCCTATAAATAGAAATCTTAAATAAAATACAACGAATGAAAATGTGTCGACTAGTGATCTTTTTCAAAACATAATTATGTGCATTATGTCTCATATTAGTTAATTTTTTCTTTTTTAAACTTGCACCAGACATCAAGATTTAACATCTTATAAACAAATACTGAAGACTAATATAACTAAATATGGTTTAATAGTTGATAGTCAAAATGGTATGGATGAGAAGTTTTCATAAATTCATCGTGGCAGTCAACATCTAAAACAATAATACCTGGAAGGAATGTAAATATTACTTTTATTTTCAGGATATGATATACAAAATAAATAAACTTTTCTTACACATACTAAAATATGCAGAAATTGCACTGAGGTAGGAGCTTCTGTAGATCTGCTTTCTTTTTAAAATGGACATTCAGATGTACGATATGAGAAACCAAAAGGTAGTTCTGTATTAAAACATGACTTTATGGTTATTTCAATAACTTCTCTTGATTTTAAGACCATATTTAGCTATGTCCTTATCCTTTTCGCATTCAGTTCTTGCTAATTTTCAGGATGTTGAATCAATATATTATTTAACATTTCTTAATGCTTCAATGCAGATAGGGATTGTACATATACTTGATGTGTGTACTTTTTTAACATAAGATATGGAAGTAAAACGAATGATTAACAAATTAACCTCGCTAGTCCATAAATGCTGCAGCTATACAAATGAGAGCTCAAAATATACTCATATGTGAAATAAACTTGATTCTTTTATCAGCATATTATGGTTGGATAGGAATTTTAGTACAGTAAGCATAATGTGATTGTTATTGTTATCAAATTACTGAATCCCTATCCATTTGCTTACAAAAACATTCCTTATTGTGATCATAAAGTTGGTTAGTGTTATCAATAATTTTTAAACTGAAGTGATGTCACTAAATAGTTTAAATAGAGCAAAGATGTCGCTAAGTAAGGGGAATAAGCAATCAAGCGTATGGATTTTGATTTAAGGCAACATTAAGTTTTTGATCTGCGTCTAAGAAAGACAATAAAAACCTGTTTTAAGAATGCTTTTAATAAATGATAAAACGCGATGGGGAAAAAAAGTCTGCAACTATCGTTGACCAGGAATTGTGAGGAATGTAGCACTTGGATGGATATTGATGAAAGCTGCAGATTCAATGATAGAACATATCTGTCATTCAGTTTCTGAAAGAAAGTGCATCATGTGATAAACCCCTCTGAAAAAGATGATGAAATTAGTGATTTTCCTACAAATGTTGAGATGAAGAATGACCTATGAGTATCATCATTAGGAGTAAAGATTGTTGCCAACTCTCCCAATTTCTGACCATAATTCTGCCAACCCGATTTGCCACATATTTCTCTCAACATTAATTTATTCTTAAACTTTCTCATAATTTTATGTAACTTGGCTTAATACTTCATTATTTGCATCTAAAATAGTGATTTTTGGCATCTGAAAGCACTTGTTTTCTCTCTAGATACATATACAAGAAAACCAAAGTCATTTCATTAGTAAGATATGGGGCATTTCTGCTTAGTGCGTGACAGTCCAAAACACATGCCTGAAAACTTTGTGTTCCAGTTCTCCAATGAGAATCATGCACCATTGCAGATCCTGTAGCATATATTAGCCAATGAGTACAAAGTAAGATCAATGTTGTTAATTTTGTTCATCTTGCCAGAGAGCAGCATGTTTCCCAGAACATGTTTAAGAAAGTGCAATCTTTTGTCATAGTTGTCTGCAAAAAATGTAAAATACTCGTATACTGTTTAAAAATCATACACAGAGGATTTTCCTTCTGTTATTTGTGCAGTATTGAAATTTAATATTGTAGTGTGTATAATTTGTTATTGCAATTTTTTTATTTCGTGCGGTGGAAGGGCCGAAGTTCTTAAGCATGTGCGTACGTAAGGATAATGCGAGTTGTATTGGAAGAAAATTTAATATTTCTGTGGAAACAAAGGGACAAAAAGTTATTAATGCAGAATGCCTGTTCTCTGCCTTTTTACTGGAGTACAGCAGTGAAATCATTAAAAAATACTTGAGAGGACAAAAAAAAAAAAAAAAAAAAAAAAAACAGTTGTAGAAGAAATGCATTCAAGAAATTGGTATCAAGAATAAATCTTTAGCTATCGATTGCATTAAAACAGTTCCATTCTGCCTCTCTATGGATGAAGGCAATAATACCAATGCAAAATTGAATACAGTTGTTTCTTCTTCTTTTTAAATCCAGTCTTCAGAAATTGAGTGTAGTTTATTTTCTGTTCCCATAAGGAGATTCAACAGGCTTTAATGCTTAGCACAGCTAATTATTAAAACTTAAGAAAGTGCAAGTCTTCAGGATAATTGCTTAGCAATGAATGCGAACAATGCACCAAGAATGGTAGGCTTCAAGACTGATGTTGCAGGCATGCTTAAAGTAAAAAAAAAATCTGATTTGCAAATTATGAGGTGCACCTCTTAAATTTAGCAATTAAAAAAAGGTCAGTGTCTTTGCCAATAAGTGTGGATGAATACATTGTTGATACTTATTATTATTATTGTTATCTTGGAAAGACTGCTAAAAAGAAGGGAAAATTGAAACAATTCCAACAGCTGCATAATACTGAATTAAGAAAAAATCTGAAATAAGTATGTATTTGCTAGTTATCTTTAGAGAAACGTTTTTCTAGAATCCTCGAACAATGGAACCCACTTCTTACGTTTTTTAAGGAAGAAGTAAATGTTTCTAGATTTAAGACAAAAGGTTCTATGAAAGTTAAACCTTAAGTAAATGGAGATGTAGTTATTACTTCAGTTGTTAAAAATATGTATGAACGTGGCGGCACGCAATTGGAAATTGATCTGTCAGCACTATCCTTATCTTCAGGGCAGATGTTTTTATTTTATTCGGCTTACTAAATGTAGTATTTCATCCCAAAGTACTCCATCTTTGATATTATTTAAATCAAATTCCTCGTCATTATGAATATCATGAATACACATCAAATAGTTTTCTGGTTGCAATTTTCTAATTTCAACTCTGCGTAATGTATGCTTTACGCATTTGCGCATTGAAAGAAATGTTTAATAAAGTAAACAATGGCTGATGCTTATTTTCTTGAAGACGAATTGCTGCATCAATTTTCTTAATGCTGCAGAGTTCACATCGTCGTGATGTTGTCTTCGATGGCTGATGCTTATTTTCTTGAAGACAAATTGCTGCATCAACTACTGGCTTATGTTTCTTGATTGCCATAATAATAATACAAACTACAAGGGAACTTCAGAAACGGTCAGTCTTGAAAACCACTCACACGAGTGAGTAAGACGTTCAATAGAAAAGGTGGTTACTGTAGGTAGCCACCACCCTTCAAAGAGTTAATTTATATTAAAAGTTTAAAAAAAATCCAAATTTGATACATATTTTTTTCGGAAAAGAGGGGGAATGATCTTGTAGCAATTATTATTATTATCTTCAAAATTATATTACAGTCAAAAGTCATTAATCCGGAATGATCTATAATCCGGATCTCAAAGCTACCAACTTTCTCCGCATGCGTCAATGCATAATGCGTTCATACATGTAAATATGCGTTTACGCATGCCCATAATACGTTCACGCATGCACGTTTAATGTATAACGGATGGTATAAGCTAGGCTAAAATTATCTAATTATCTATTTCAGTTAATGTTGCAGATTGCGTTGTTCCTTAATCTTCGACTTGGAATCCGGCTTTTTTGCAGACTGTTAGAGCAATTTTATAAAAGTAAGCTTGAACTTTCGATTATGTCAAATAGAATTTCCGATGCTAGATACTGCCAAAGGATCTACAAAGCGAAAGCATGTTTCAATGTCCATCAAACAAAAAGTGGAATTGCTGCAAAAAATGGATAAAGGCATATCCTTTGTTTCTCTAACCATTACGAAATCTGTTTATCAATTTCACGCTGCTCTGCAAGAAAAGGGAAGGTCGTGGCGCGCAATAAACTGGTAGTTGATCTGTCAGCACTATCCTTATCTTCAGGGCAGATTTTTATTTTATTCAGCTTATAGTTCATTACTAAATGTAGTATTTCATTTCGATGTACTCTGTCTTTGATATGATTTAAATCAAATTCATTATAAATATCACGAATACACATCAAATAGTTTTCTGGTTGCATTTTTCTAATTTTGACTATGCGTAATGTATGCTTTACGCATACGCGCGTTGGAAGAAATGTTTAATAAAGTAAACAAATAAATATTAAGCTTTTTCTTTTTGTAAATTTTGATACCCTTTAGATTATAATATTTCTTTTATTTCATAAATTACGGTTTCATATTTTTAATTTTATAATTTCTGCATGCCATCTTACCAGATTTAAACTGATGATCTATAATCAGGAAAAACCGCTAATCCAGAATCGCCGAAGTCCCAATGAGTCCGGATTAAAGACTTTTGACTGCATATAGATTTATTCTAATAATTCTTTTTCCCCCTTTCTAATAATATAAAAAGTATTAAAATTTGTATTAGAAAATGGATAAATGGGGAGAAGCATCAGAAAGTGCAGTAATATCCCACTTTCTTGGTGATCTAGATCATCTGATTTTTCTACTCTATGTCAAACAATAAGGTGTGTTATAATAGTCCTTCAACCAATTTTAAAGGAAGACAGGATGTCAATTAATTCAATTAGGATGCTTATATTGAATTACACCATAAAATTTTGTTTAATACAATGCCATGGCATTTAAAACAAAGCAAGAGGTGGATGCACAGACTATTAAACTGTATCAAAATATATAATGTGTATTTTTTTTTTTTTTTTTTTTTTTTTTTTTTTTTAAATTCTTAATATTTTGTGTTGCATTGCCTACTTTACATATCATACAAAAAAGTTTTAGCTACATTCCTTCATTTTTAAACTAGTGTATTTTTAGATTTGTACATGTACACTTCATGTTTTGTGCCTTACTACCAAACTGCATAAAAATAATATATAAATCAAGTCTTCCTTATATCTGCTTGCATTTTTAACCTTGTAAGCTATTCATTTTAAATATTTCTATAAATTTAGTGAGTAGACTAAAATTGTTAAAGGTATTTTAAAAATAAAAATAATGCAAATTTTTTTCCCCAGTTGTTCCTCCTCTATACACAGACATCTGTTTTCATTTAAAAAGAAAAATAATACAATCATACAAATTTGGCATTGAGCAAGTTGCTGCTTTGTCATGCATATAATGATCTGTTTTTGCAAATTTCAATCATTTACGAAGTACAACTTTATGAAATGCAAATTTTTGCATTCTCTACCATGGGGGTGAACACAATATTTCTCAAGAAATACAATTTTTTTTCATTAGCAGGCAAATTCCACAGTCCTGTTATGATTCCTTAAGTTCTTGAATGCAACAAGAATAAACACTGCTCCTAAAATCTCGGTCAGATTTGAAGGCAGAAACCAGGTTTTCTCTGCTACTGTATGCACATATACTTGGGTTGCCACATAAATATATTTTGGCGAGATATTATGTGACCTTGTGAGATGCAGAAGCAGCAGATAATCAGAAAGTGAAGGTTTTGTTTATATAGATATATGGCACTATCTAGAGGGGGTGATTTCATAGTTTCCAAGGGGAGAATGGGATCAGCCTTTTATTCACCTGTTAAGTATTTTAGTTTATGAATATAAATAATTACTTTCAAGCTTTGGAATTTATCAACATTTTCTGTACTTTTTTTTGTTTAATTTATAAAAGAGATTAAAAAATAAATTTAAATTTAAATAAATGTGCATATACTATGCATGTTTTGAAAATGAAGGGGATGATCTAGCAATGGTGAAAGGCGTTATGAGGCAAAAAAGTTGACAACCACTAGTCTAAACTGATAGGCATACATCTTCTTTAAGATTTAAAACAAAGTTCATAACAAAACTGTAACTATGGCTTTTAAGACTGATATGTGGTTATTTATTTGTATATCATTACTTAATGCAATATTTAACATACTTTATCATGCAATTTTAAGAATCACTTCAGTGCAAATTAGTTAAAATATTATTGCTGTTTTTCTTCTCAGAATTTAAAAATTTTATATGTAAATTGGATAACAAAATTCATATATGTAGCTCATTTGAATTCTTGATAAAGATTTATCCCTGTTAAATTGTTGAATTATATATATATATTTATATATCATTCTCTCTCTATATATATAGAGAGAATGTAAATTTAATTTTATTCAGCGACCTGATACCATTGTATGCAGGGTGGTCGCAACCCCTAGCGGCCTATCTGCTTCATTAATTGAAATTTTAGATATTATTATTTTAAAGTATGTGTTCAAGATTGTGATGATTTAAAGCTATAGAGCTCACAACTGCAGTTACAGTGAAAATTTTTTGAAATTTTCAAATGGCTTCACCCATTTTTTTATACCCATTTTTTTCAAACGTTTGCAGAGAAGAGCATTGTAAAGAACCAGTGACGACACAAGACAGGAGAGGGGGGGGACTTTTATTGAAATTACAAGTTATCAATGTGTGAAATGTTTCAAGATAGACTCATCTCCCTTTGGGGTTTCATGGCCACCACAAGCCCTGACCTCATTCAGATTGATTTCTGGTTCTGTGTTTAACTGAAATCAAAGGTGTACACATCAAATCCACTTGAAAGATACGATATAATGTGAAGTTATACAGATTTCTCCTGTGATGTAATGTTTTCATTGTTGTCAACAATCTTCTGCATGCAATGTGTTATTCTCTGCGAAAGTAAACAAGTTGAAAACCTTGTAATTCCAATAGAAGTTTTTTTCCTCTGTCCTCTCTTGTGTTGTTAATGGTCTTATACAGTGCTCTTCTTTGTAAACATTTTACAACTGCAATTTTTATCATATGTGTATCATTCTAATGTCATTTATTGTCCCCCCCCCAATGAGCTGATTAATTTGGGCAGGAAAAAAATTGCATGTTGCCATTTGAAAATTTTGAAATTTTTTCACTAACTGTGAGAGCTCTATTGTTTTAAAACATTGCTATCTGAAGTGTATACCCTCAGATAACAACTTCTGAAATTTCATTTTGACTGGTAGAACAGATAGACCCAAAGGGGGTTCATATACTGGAGAAGTTTTTTTATGACCACCCTGTATATAACCAAAAGTTACATTTATTTCACCATTGGTGCTAAGATAGGTTAAAATTTTGTAGCACAAAAATAAAGCATAAAATAATAATACTATAATTAATTTATGTCCAATTATCACTATGTTGACACACATTATATTTTACAAAGCACAAAACAAGTTTATATATTTATCGTTGGATATAAATATTGAGCTAATTTATAGCTTACTGTATAGACTTTTAAGACTTAATTTTATAAATATGGTTGTCTGTTTTGTTTACTGATATTTGACTAATGTTTTTGGTTTATTTTATAGTATTTTTGTATAGCCATTGTAAAAATAATTAACTGAATATTTAAGCAGTTACATATTGATACAATTTATTTTTGTACAGCTAATGTAAAAATAAACTAATTATTTATCACTTATTTTTGGTCTTGTCTACTTTGCAACTTTTAATAAATACTATTAAAATAATCATAAGCTAATGACATTTTTTGTGTTCTGTTATGCATTTCTAGGCTTAAATTTCACTTTTTGGTCCAGACCCCCACTTCCCTTAAAATCAGATTTAATTATTTAAAAAAAGTCTTGATTTCATACCCTGCAAATGTAAAGGGCCACTGGGGTTTATCTGAGCTAACAGAGTCAGTGTCAGTTCCATGTGGTGACTAGCTCCGCTATGCCTGTAATTCAGATTTTTCAACTTATGTTGAATATACCCTAGGGGAAAAAACTGGTTTGGGAGATGGGTTGGCCACGTCAATTGTCCCCATTGGCTCAGATAAACCCCAGTGGGAAACGGCCCTATATATAAACAGATAATATATACACAAAATAAAAAACAAAACTTATAAAAAATTGAAAATTGGCCATTTTTAGAACTTTAATAACATGTTTGGGAAAAAATTAAAAAAAAAAAAATTCTTTAAAAACTTTTCTATCTGGATATTTTTTATTGTATTATCTGCAATGTTTTTTTGAAAGAGGTATCTAAGGGATCTTTTGCTGTGTTAAAGAAATATAAATTATATCCAGTACAAAGTCTGAAATTCGCACCACCAGCCAACAGACAAATAAAATAATTTTAACACAGATTCACAAATAGAGTTTCACTATTATAAAACTTAAGAATAGAGATTAGACTACTTAACAAAAGGAGATGGATGTATTGTAAATGCCACATTTTTCCCAGCAAACTGAGATTCTTGAATGTCACATACCTGCTGGCCAGGAAGTCACACTGTAGCTAATAACAACACCTTGATTAATGTTGGCCAGGATCACACTTTTGGCCTTTAGTGTTTGTGACACAGAACCAATGCTTGTGCATTTTGTTGTCTCATGATCGAAATTTAGAATCGAAGTTTCTGTGATTCCAGATTTCAGATTTTATATTGTAATATGTTGAAGAATTAAGAAAAAGTTAATTTCACACTAAAAATATTTTCCAAAGAAAATGAGTTTTATTTACACATTTGTACAATATTAAAAATGCAATAATGAGTCATTCACATGAATATGCTTTGTACACATCAAGTCAGGTCCGAATGTGAAGTCATACATCTTTAACAACTATTAAAGCAACCAAGAATACAAAAATTCATTGTCGGTTGAAAAATAATAAAGCTAACTAAATTATTTTTAAAGAATTAAGGCTTTAATTTGACAAAATTATGTAAAATAAATTATGCTCATTTTTCTTTTTCTATTTTAGTCAAATGATACTATTTAATTTTATTTATGATTTGGGGCAATATTGTGCTTTATTTGTGGTTAAGATTCTGTTTTGAGATGCTCAATTTTAAAGTCGTGCATGAAATATCACATTTTAAAGAATATATTTAAATCAGAAAAATAAATGCAGCATATAAAATAAGATTGCTCACATAAAAGATCAAATTAATTCTGCCATTCACATATTACTTTACCTTGGAGATTTAACATCACAATTTAGTCTAAATAATTCTTTATAAATAAAGGCTGGCAGCAAATACGATGTCTCTTTTGATGAGTTTGATACCTAAAGGGGAAAAAAAAAAAAAAAAAAATTTTGATAAGATAAAAAATATGTTTTCTTATTTTAACTCCAGAATATATATGGTAAATACTTATTTACCTTCAGAAAATTTGTTTTCCATTTCTGTATTACCAATCGCTTTAGCAGCTTGACACATCTGCCGCATTAATTCTTCTAATCGCCTCATGCATCGAATAATACTACCTATTAATAGAAATAAACATATGCTTAACCAATAGCCTGCTCGAAACGATTTTTTTCAATTTGGGAGGGGAAGGAAGGAGCTATTTATTAAAAGATTTCATTTCATTGTGCAATTGTTATTGCCGTGTTTTCTTTTTTATCAGCCAGCAGAGTCTCAATATGATTTCTCACAAGAAAGAAAGGTACATGCAGAATTTAGATTGTGTACCTCATATTAGATTGGATAGCTTTAGGTTCAAGTTCATAACCTGAAAATCTATGGTGTAATTCACTTTTGGGCCCAAAATCTAATTTCTGATTTAATTTGGTGAGCTACACATAGGGTATATATAAATGGAAATATTTTGATATTTTTCCTCGGCAGTTCTTTTTATTCCTCATATGCTAATAGTATCCTTGTTTGTATATTTAAGGATAGATCAAGTTTCCTACTCAAAATATTGTGAAAATTTCTTGAAAAAAAATTTTTTCCCCCCAGTTTACGTTAATAAAAAAAGCAAAATTTTAAGAAAAATGGGAAAAAAAATTTATTTTTGAACTCTTCCTAAATTTTTTAAATAGTTAAATGCATTTAAAGCAAATTCTATTAAAAATTTAAATGTTACTTAAATTACATGAATCTGCATACTCTAAAAGTTATACATACACTACTATAATAAGATTAAAAAATTCAGTACCTTCAAAAACATCAGTCATTTTACAGATCTGTATAAAACTTGCACCTTTACTCCATGCATGGACTACATCCATTAGATGAGGCCTGAAGGACTCCACATATTGATCAGTATCTAATTCCAATTTTGATTCTTTGCTTATTTTAGCTATCCTGCGAGCTGTATCCTAAAACAGGGAAATTACAAAATTCATTCTACATTTTTAAAATAGATCTGCATAATAATTTCTGTTCCCTCCTTTAAATACCTTAAAAATAACAAACAAACTAACAAGATAATTGTATAATTTATCAGCTGTGTCTATTAATGATACTAGTTTAAAACTGGTATTAAATAGGTGGTGAAAAGTATTATTACAGCAGTTTCCATGTTTAAAAAATTATATGCAATTTCATGAAATATAAAATAAAAATGCTAAAGGCCAATAGAAATTGCTAAGTATGTAATGCAGATAAAAAGTTTGACAAGCTTTGTTAAAATTTTGTGATGTTTTGCTTCTGAAGAATATTCTGAATAATTACCTATAAATGAAAAAATGTAAATATTAACCACTGCTTGCATGATGGATTATTATTATTATTATTATTATTATTATGCATTAATCTAAAAAAAAACACATTTTCAAAGACATCATAATTAACATATATTTCAGATTTCATCAACATATTGGGTAGGTTAAAATTTTAAAGTTCTGAATGATTCCTATATTTTTTATAACTGTGTTTCAAATTATACAAAAATTTATATTCTGATAAAAGTTTCATCTATACTGCAGAATAGCATTAAAACAGTATTTACTATTCATATAAAAAACAGTATTTACTATTTGTATCTCTCATATTTAGTGACTTCTATTAATATCTACCTTAATATAACAAAATACTATAATAAAATTAAAATTATGTACCTGCATAAGACGAAGAGGTCCAGATAATTCTTCTCCTAATTTAGGCATTTCACTTGATTTTTCTTGAAAAACAAAGCAGCTAAGAAGAGCAGTTGTTTGGTGAACATTTAGGTTATTGAATGCACCATTAAAAATCATTTCTGTCAACAACAGTTCATCAGCACTAAAGATTAAAAAAAAAGTTAACTCTACCTTTTTTTTTTAATTTAAATATTCTACATCATTTATAGAATGATAACACAAATTTTAAATTTTAGCAACACATGTTTATTAAAAATTTCCTTATTTTTCATAACCATATATATTTTAAATGTGGCTATTACTTCACGATATTTTCTTTCAATCATAAAAAAATATTCAAAGATGTTGGAAATTTTTGTAAATACACTTGAATACGTGGCTTTTTATGCATGTAAAATTTAACACATATATATAGTCTTCACGCACAAAAAAAAAAAAAAAAAAAAAAAAAAAAAAAAAAAAAAAAAAAAAATTCTACATGCAAAACATCCATTACGTTAGAATGAGTTAAAAAAAAAAATTACATGCACTTTTCCCTGTTCAACACACAATGCTTGTATTACGTACCTGCTTATTTCACATGCAACACGCCCTTTTATTTCTATGACATCTGTGGCCGTACAATAACCCATACGTCTTAACACTCTTTTTCTACATTTCAATTCATCCATTTGTAATAAGGAGCGAGCTTTTTTTAGTTCAGCTTTAGCAGCTTTTATTTCATCTGCAATCTAGAAACAACATTGAATAAAAAATAATGCAAATGAAGTTAAAATACATTTTAACATTTCTATAAATAAAAATATAAAAAATATTATTCCACCTCCATAAATCAGTACAGCAGTATTATTTACCTGTAATTTTTTTTTGTAAAGTTCAAGTAATTCTACTGTGGATGGATTATCATGAAGTGGATGATGATTTAACCGGGATGTAAATGCTTCAATTTTCTACAAGGAAAAAAATATGGAAATTATAGATAACCTTTCAGTAAATATGATATATATTTATTAAAAGGAATAGCCGCCAAGCCCCCCCCCCTAAAAAAAACAAAAGAGTGCTATTTTTGAGTCAGTCAGAAGTTATTTTGGCTAGTAAGAAAACTGTAATAGATGTTTCCGAGTCAAGAATGCACACGGCAAATAAGAGGAAGAATATAATAACGCTAATAGTAACTTATAGCTATTATTTAAATCAGAAATATCAAGAAATATTTCAAAGTCAACTTAATCCTAAGCATTCAACCAGACACTTAATTAATAAACAAACACACACAATTAGGCATATATTCAAGCTCTATATTCTATTCTCTGTTCCAAGCTGCTTTTTTAGTTAAAATTAATATGATGCATTTTGCAAGTTTGAGGACCAGACCATTTTTATTTCAAATAATCTACACATTTTTCAATCCATATGGCCTGGTAAGTGTTACTATTATTCCAAGGGCATAACGTAATTTATTTAACAACCTGGCCACTTTGCCATTTAATACGCAATAAGTTCCCGTCTTTTTTTCAACTTATATATTGCTTAACTAAGGTATTTAAAAGCAAATTATGTACATAACAATTTATAATTTATTTTTTTGACAGAGTCTTTAATTAATATATATTCCATATATATGATTTACAGTTTATTTGATAAATAAATTTTTAAGCATTTGCAGCATTACTACTGTCAATAAAAGATGTTTCTGTTGCCATATTATTTTACACACAGAACAGTTTGTAAGCTACTTAACAATGTATTTTGAAGATCAGATATTATTCAAATTTCTTTGTATTTTATAAGTCAACTCAAAATTACTCTGACTGAACTTTTACCACTGTATTTATTTATTGTATGTTCTTAAATCATACCAGAAGATGGCTTCTTATTTTATGAAGTACATAGGCACGATACAATTTACATCTTAAGTACATACCTTTAGAACATCCTTTAGTCCTGGATCTTTAATCTTCATATCGTTTACAGGATCAAGAAGAGGTAAACCATTAGGAAACCTTCCCAGAATTGTCTATTATGAGAAATAAATTTTTGCTTTTTTTAAACAATACATTAATTTACACATTTAAAAAAATACATGCAATGAACAGGATTTATTATTATATCATCACATTTTTAGATCAAGGTTAGTCCTTGATGTGATTATAAATGTATAATATCTTCTACTAGTGTAGAATATGCTTTTCAATTATATGAAACCAAAAAATCCAAGATGTAATTGATTAATGTAACCAAGCTATTGCAAATGATTTGCATATTTCTAATATATCCTTGTGCTATAATATTCATTTGATCAGGGTTCTTACACATTTCTGCACACGGAAATTAAGTACTTTTAAGGACCATTAATGAAAAAATTAAGGACCTATAAGCAATTGGGAACTGAATTATCTTTGAAATATAAGTATGTATGTATAAGTAGTATGTATAATATATGAACTTTATCTTTGAAATATAAGAACTCAAAAAATATAGGTTATAATGCTAAGTAAATCAATTACAGCTTGTGATGATGTAATTAAACAAGAAGAATCAAATTCAAACTAAAAATACAGACTAGTGATCAAAGACTATAACAATTTAATTTCATTTTAAGCTGTAACATTTTAAGCTCAGTAACTTTATCGTCATAACAAATTCAAATGTTGGCAACGGTAATGTAAAGACGAATAATTACAAATTATCAAAGGTGGCAGGAACTAACGCAGGGAGCAAGTGGAGGTCAGAAATACACTCTTGTCTTACACTCCCAAAACCTCAGTTTTAAAACTAACTGATTCGCATTCTGGTGAGAAAATAGAAATGGAAAATTATAGTAAAGGCTGAAATTGTAAACAACTGGGTAATTTACATAATAATATCTGTACATATCTTTAAAGAATAATTTCCCTTTCTCTTAATGTATTCTTTCTTTCTTCCATGTTTCCTTTCCATTTTAGAATTTTTGGATTTAATTAAAGATTTCTGCTATTCTAAAAACAATAAATGCATTTAGAATGTATAGAGAAAGCTACTAATTTTATTTCTTTAGTAATATGAACATTCAGACGAAATATGAAATATATATGGTAAGGTCTGGTTACAGAGCTAGGGTAACAGAATTTTTAGAATTTAATAACACATCGAGCAACAAAAATCTAGAAATGTCAAAATTTTAGAATTTAGAACAGGCATTGGAAGCAGAATTTAGAAACGCACCAGGCAGGAGAATTAAGGATTCACAGAGATTTTATCAGGTGAAAAAATGCCTAGTGCCATCCCTGTGTATGATGCATTAAGACATATTAGATGAATAGTTTAAATTGTCAGTTTTGAATTTCTTTATTAATAAAAAAAATTATTTTCTATAATGATAAGATTAGAAGCATTTCTGATATTTTATGCTTGTGTCTAGTGAAAAGTAGAGAAAATAAAGGAAAGATAAAAATGTTAAAAAAAGATTCTAGTATCAGAAGTAAAACATTCAACTATTATGTTTTCATTTTTCTTTTGGACGTTCTCCAAAAAGTAAGGAATTATGGATTAATACCAAATATCCACAATTTTCTGGAATCTTCCAGAATCGTGGATCTATAAATCTTGCCTTCAAATCTTTCTAAACTTTCCAAGCTGTAATGTCTAATATCCTAAAGAAAAATTACGCCTACCAATTCAGTAACAGCAAAAAGCCAGAAATATTTTAAGGGAAAAAAAAAAAAAAAAAAGAGAGAGAGAGAAAGAGAAAATATCGGACGAAAAAAGTGTAAAATTAATTTTACAGAGAAAACTGATGCATATTCTGAGACAATTACATGAGAGAACACTTACCATGAAAAAATTATAAAGACATTTTAAATTTATTACATAGCTATTTGCTTTTGCTAAGAACTGTTTCATAAATTGTGCTCATAGCATTATACCTTGCTTATTTTTTCAGATCAAAATATTGTATATAAGTGGCCAAATGGAACTTTATAATACAACAGCAAAAAATAAAAATGTTTATTCTATGTTATTTCTAAATGTAATTACAATATATTACCATTATTTTAA